CGTAGAGGCTCCATGGGAGTCTCTGCCAGAGGTGGCGTCGGGCGCAATGTATATTGCGCCGGGCGTGAGACTTGGGGAAAGTCTCTGCTTGCCCTGGGCCAAGCGCGGGTTCGTACGCCAAGCGTGTGAGACCTTGTGAGGTCTCTGCCTTCCCTCACGCCGGGCGTAATAGGTATTGCGTCGGGCGTGCTGGTCCTTGGTACCCTCTGGATGTGCCACGCCGGGCGCAGACATGGGTGCGCCGGGCGTGTATGAGAATGTTATTTTGATGTTATATTAGTTGTATAACTTTGCTGAATTTGCTGAGAGAGGTTGTTTTATGCTGATTATGATGTTAAGTTGTGATAGATATATAATGCTATGCTGAGCTGGCTGTTATTGATAAGTTTAAATGTTGTAATATGATATTGCTGTGCTCTAGAATGATGAGTTGGGATGTGAGTAGTAAGCTGTGTTGAATACTACTTAGCTGTGTTGTATGCTGATATGTTGTGCTGTGCTGTATGCTGTTATAGCCGCTATGTCGGTGCTGTTAGCCACTATTGTGGTGCTGTTATAGCCGCTATGTCGGTGCTGTTAGCCACTATTGTGGTGCTGTTATAGCTGCTGAGCGGTGCTGATATTGCTGATATTGCTGTGGTGTAGTATAAGCTGTGCGGGTGTGCTGATAGCAGTAGTTGTTTATTGTTCATATATTATATATGTATGTTGATTTCCTTACACTAGCTTACCCTTTGTTGTCTCCATGATGTTTGGACTGCAATATCATACTATGTATGGGAGCAGAGCAGGGATAAGTTGGTGGCTGGCAGTAGGTCTGTAGCTGGTAGACGGAGCTGATCTATTTAGATGTTTTGTTGTTTAGCTACAGGGTGTAGTAGCTTTGATGTATTTTGTTTTACATTCTAACTCTAGTCAGATTAGGACCTTGTATATACATATATTCTAGATCCTATATTATATACTTGTTCTATCTGCCTGGTGTTTCCAGTGTGCTGTGCCGTGTGTAGTGACCTGCTGGGTCGTTATAATAACTCAATAAAATAAGATCAATTTTAATATGGTCAACCTTTAAGTATGTCTTTTATCTAATCCTATCCTATTTTCATAATAAGTATAATTATTGAAGTCGAATAATATAAAAAAAATAATGCTAAATATGTGAAAGAAAATAACATAATATCATATAAGAAACTAACAACTTCAACAACAAATATTAAAACATCACATAGTATATATCCAAATAATGAAGTAATAAAGCAAGTAGTGTTAAATATATTGTTTAAAATTAAAAAATGATAAAATGTAATTGAATTTAAAAATATGATAGAAAGATTAACGATGTGCAACCGATCATTTTAGATAGTTATAATAAAAATTAAATAAAAAATCATTTTGCAAGCTATAAATGTAAAGCAATAGAAAAATGTACATAAAAATAATATGTCTTTATTAATAATTAGTGTAAAAGAGGTGTTTTATGTCTCTATATATTTAAAAATATTATAAAGAAAATAGAAATAATTGAGAAAAGGAGAAGGTTTGGAGTGGGTTAAAGGTGGGTATAACTTATAAGGGTAAAATAATCTAAAAATTGTGTACACCCCTTTTCTTTTCAGCGACGACCGTCTCGTCGGCCACCGCCTTATCGCGCGCCTTGCCCTTGGCCGGCGCAGAAGGTGCGACACTACTCTCACCAGCCATCAAAAATGGAAAAGACTCGAAAAAGGGGAAAGACGAAGAAGAAAGAGGAAGGAACCCGGAGGAGAGAAAGAGCGAAAGAGAAAGCAGTAGAAAGGAAGTACCTAGTACTCCTCCTCAAACAATGACCTTAACGGCGGCCTGGGTGCCAAAAATGGCGGCGACAAGGACAAACGGAGAATATGAGAAAGGAAAGGGACAGAGGGAGCATCGGCGTGCACGAGAAGCCAAAACAAAAGAAAGAGTAAAGTGAAGGTAAGAGGGGTGCGAAAGAGAGAGGGAAAAAGAAGTCTCCAAAATTGAAACGAAAGTGACACGTGGAGGAAGGAGACACAACTGACGACACATTAAATGAGGCCTATTATGACAAAGTGCGCCCATCATTACATAACCGTCACCTCCCATTAACACGCCGCCCACGCCTTATGGGAACGAGGTGACATTCATGACACATGGCGTCACGTCAGAGGAACGCACGCGAAGAGTCATGACCCTCCTGCAAGCTCGATTTTAACCTTCAACATCATGAGGGGCTGAGGTCTCCCCGACCTTCTTCTCTTCCTTCTTTCTTTTTCTACAAGTTTCAAGGGGAGCAACCTCCTCTTCGTCGACCTCAGAAACCTCGATCTCGTCTACATTGTAGCGGGCCTTTAGCTCTCGCCATTTTCTTCTTCTTATTATACCTGCAAGCACAAAAATCCATCACATAAGAAAAAGAAAAAAGAAAGAAACCCTAACCACTAAGGATGACGAGGTACTCACTCTCTAAACCCCTCTCCTTGTTCACCGAGTTAGCAAGCGACAGGACGAGCTTGCAATCCAAGGGACGAGGGAGCGCAGCTAGGTTGGCAATGGCAGCCGTATCCGAATTCATCAGATGAAGACCACTTGACCCGTTGAACTTAATCGGATTTTGCTGCCAAAAAAAAGGGAACCTCGGCAACCCACCGAAGTGGAAGACCTCGTCGACCAGAGGGTCGGCCTCCTTAGGCAAGACTCGAAAGAACTCCTGTTTGAAGCCCTTATACGACTTGGAGTAAAGTGAGAATAATCTCCCAGCCTTACTCCCATTCAACGACACCCACCCTAGGGGAGGGTCACCCAACTTGAGTTGGTAAAAATGGAGAAACACGGGCAGTGACAACCCTATCCCCAGGGCGGAGCACAGGACTTGAAAAGCCCTAAAAAAACCCCAATTATTGGGGTGCAGCTGGCAAGGAGCCACCTTGATGAAGTTAAAAAATTTACACTCAAATTGTGTGAAGGGTAGACAAACGCCTAAATCCCTAAAAAAATACTGGTACACAGAAAAAAGGGGGATTAGAGGTACCCCCCATATACACATGCTCGCCTGGTTGACAAGGCTCAACCCGGATGAGCTTGGAGATGGACGCTTGGCAGATCCTATGCGATTTACATATCGCATTGACCTTAAGAAAGGATTTAAAGACGCTCTGAAACTCTCCGACGTCCCCTCAGACCCACTCGTAGGCCGGGACGGTAATGGCGGGGGGGGAGGGGGGGAGGTGGTTGGTTTCCCACCGCCTTATCGCGCGCCTTGCCCTTGGCCGGCGCAGAAGGTGCGACACTACTCTCACCAGCCATCAAAAATGGAAAAGACTCGAAAAAGGGGAAAGACGAAGAAGAAAGAGGAAGGAACCCGGAGGAGAGAAAGAGCGAAAGAGAAAGCAGTAGAAAGGAAGTACCTAGTACTCCTCCTCAAACAATGACCTTAACGGCGGCCTGGGTGCCAAAAATGGCGGCGACAAGGACAAACGGAGAATATGAGAAAGGAAAGGGACAGAGGGAGCATCGGCGTGCACGAGAAGCCAAAACAAAAGAAAGAGTAAAGTGAAGGTAAGAGGGGTGCGAAAGAGAGAGGGAAAAAGAAGTCTCCAAAATTGAAACGAAAGTGACACGTGGAGGAAGGAGACACAACTGACGACACATTAAATGAGGCCTATTATGACAAAGTGCGCCCATCATTACATAACCGTCACCTCCCATTAACACGCCGCCCACGCCTTATGGGAACGAGGTGACATTCATGACACATGGCGTCACGTCAGAGGAACGCACGCGAAGAGTCATGACCCTCCAGCAAGCTCGATATTAACTCCTCGATCCACGGTCTTCGGAGCTTGGGGGGCTAGTGTACAAAAGGTTACAGAAAGAATGCAATAATAGTAAGTGTAAAAGATTACAAAACCAGAAATTCGAATGTAATAAAGCAGAGATAATCTTGTCTAATTATTAAAATTTCAAAGCAACACAAATTACAAATCCATCATACATCATTCGCAGCAAACTCGCAACTAAAAACAAAAATAGTAAATATAAAAATAAAAAATAAATGCAATATTTGACTAAAAGAAGGTAATCGCATATACAAGAACTCACCTTTTTTATTTCTTATAAGAAGAAACGAACGTAACTTCAATGA